CAGTCACATGTTCTGAATAGAAAGGACAGTTGCATGTGACATTAAAACAAGGCTTTCTGAAGCAGTAATTCCCAGCCTTTTTGGCATCAGAGACTGGTTTCAAGGGAGACAATTTTCCACGGATTGGGTGGGGGGATGTTTCGGGATGAAACTTCCACCTCAAGTCATCATTAGTTAAGATTCTCATAAGGAATGCACATCCTCGCATGTGCAGTTCACAATAGGGTTCACACTCCTATGATAATCTAATGCGCTGCTGACCTGGCAGGAGGCAGAGCTCAGGTGGTGATGCTCACTTGCCTGCCGCTCGCCTCCTGCTGTGTGGCCTGGTTCCTAACAGGCCATGGATTGGTACTGGTCCACAGCCCAGGGTTTGGGGACCCCTGTAACAAAAGGAAAACAAGATTCTTAAATCTTTACAGGAAGGAGGAATGGAATGGAAAATAAAGCAAGTTGTATACTAAATGATGTTAAAAATCCCTTTGTCACCTTTAAAATATTGCAAGCAGAGAGGAAAAAAATATTAAAACCAACCATTTTACTTTCTTAGTTGTAGATAATGCCTGCCTTATGAGAATGTTTCTTTTAAAGATTCCAAAAGAACCATATAAAAACTTAGTAATGACTTAATTGTTCACATATTCTAGTGACATCAGTACTTTTTCAGGAAGTAATGTGGAAAGGTTGGCACTAGAAGTTGACATAAGAATTAGTTTAGCCAGGTGCAGTGGCACATGCCTGTAGTCCCAGCTCACAGGAGGCTGAGGCAGGAGGATTGCTTGAAGCCAGGAATTCTGGGCTATTATAGTGTGCTCTGCTGATTGGGTGTCCACACTAAGTTCGGTATCAACATGTTGATCTCCTGGGAGTGGTGGACCTGCTCAGGCCAGAAATGAAGCAGGTCAAAATTCCCGTCCTGGTCAGTAGTGTTATCGCCCCTGTGAAGAGCCACAGCACTCTAGCCTGGGCAACATAGTAAGACCCTGTCTCACATAAAAAATAAAATAATAAAAATGAAAAAGAGAATTAGTTTAGATCTCTTCATAATTTAAACAGTAATCTAAATTATAGGGTTTAGGTGGAGTTAATCTCTGCAAGTCCTGAGGCGCTATACCCAAGGTGCTTGGCCCTACCAGGAATGCACTCTTGCTTACATGTGTTTCAAATCTAAATCCCATCATTTAGTTTTTTCCTATTTAGGCTGTGGGACGGTGTGTTTATTACAATGATTGAAACCTGTGCCTTATTTGAATTACTAGTTATTCAAAACACACTTTTGGGTTTAGTGCCCAGTAATTACAGCGTACTCCTGTAAGACTTAACTCTCATTGATTCCTAGAGAATTGTTTTTGATACGGTCTCGGTCTGTCACCCAGGCTGGATGGAGTGCAGAGGCACAATCTCGGCTCACTGCAACTTCTGCCCCCCGCTGGGCTCAAGCAATCCTCCCACCTCAGCCTCCTGAGTAGCTGGTACCACAGGCACCCACCATCATGCCCAGCTATTTTTTTTGTATTTTTGGTAGAGATGGCGGGGTGCTTGGGGGGGGGACGGGGGGAGCAGGTGGGGTACGGGGGTCAGCGGGGGGAGTGTCCTCACAGTGCCCAGGCTGGTCTTGAACTCCTGAGCTCAAGCAGTCCACCCACCTTGGCCTCCCAAAGTGCTGGAATTACAGGGATGAGCCACCATATCCAGCTGTTTTAACTTGATTTAACTTCCAATCATTAATATTTACATAAGACCCATTTGCAAAACAACCTTCTTTACATTATCTTCTTTTGGTTTTAGGAAACAAAAAGTAGCTCAAGTTTATTGTGTCCTAGACTAAATAACACAAGTAGCTAACACTACATTACACTGCATATCTGATATAAAAACGCAGTACACATATTTCTAGACTTTGTTCATTTATCCCTAGGCAGAAAATATTCATAATAGATTTGGAATAATTTCCTTCTCAAAAAGCTTAAACTTCAAATAGAAGTGAAAAATGAGAAAGAATGATTGGGTTGCAGAATTTTCAAAAGCCTAAAAAGAGCCCGGGCATGGTGGCTCACACCTGTAATCCCAGCACTTTGGGGGGCCGAGGTGGACAGATCACTTGAGGTTGGGAGTTCGAGACCAGCCTGACCAACATGGTGAAACCCTGTCTCTACTAAAAACACAATAACTAGCCGGGCGTGGTGGCATCTGCCTGTAATCCCAGCTACTTGGGAGGCTGAGGCAGGAGAATCGCTTGAACCTGGGAGGCGGAAGTTGCAATAAGCCGAGAGAGCACCACTGCACTCCAGCCTGGGCGAGAACAGGGCGAGACTTCATCTCAAACAAAACAAAACAAAAAAACCCAGAAAGCTTAAAAACAGATTCCAAGAAGTTGTAGCAAAGAGGTAATTTGTTCCAATATACAGCACAGTCATACACAGCACTTTGCAACTTACCAAGGAAAACCTTAAACGTGGCAAGACAATACTACCCTCTAGGGGCAGAATTTTTATTTTCACAACTTCTCAGCAAAGGATGAATGAAAGGATGAACTAAACAGTTAATAGCAGGCTAATTATTCAAGATTGAACAATCCTTTCTCTTTTCACATTCTCTTGGTGTAAGCACTTACATGATTGACTACAGAAGTTGGGATAAGACACCTGACCAGTACATTTTGGTTACTTATGAAAATAATTCTGATACAAGGGTGGAGAGAGAAAAATTTGAAATGAACTTCATAAAACTTAGAATTTATAGATGGATTTTTATTTCTATTTTTATTACAGACTTACTATTCTAATTTTTTCCCCATTTTGGGAAAAAAGTTCAATGACAGATATTCCGAGTCCCTTCACACATATGAGGTGCCTGTGTGTTTAGTTTATCTGCTTGGATAGAAATTATTACAGAATTCATAAAACAGGAAATGAGCATTATAAACCAGTTACTAACTGTAGAATATTTTGGTTTCCTCTGCCCCCTGCCCTGCTCTAAACCCTACTTCACTGGGTTTCTGCATTTTCTCCATCCTTTTTCCCAGATTAACCTGTTCATTTATTGACTTCTGTCAAGTTCTAGAAAATGAGATCAAAGACTGATAGCTGGATGTTCTCCCATCTTAAAATGTTAGGGAAACAGTTTGTTAAAAGCATGTTACTCTTTAGTCCTAAGTATTGAGCAGTCATTGTCCTTCAGGCCAAAATGCCAGCCACTTTATTTCCCTACTTTTTAAAGACTTAATTAGCCATCAGCAGTCTGTAGTAGAGCCGGCTTTCTTAATACAAAACAGTTTATTATATTTTAATTGGCAGGCTCTATTGTATCTTGGAGTGTTTTTCTCTAATTTTATATTGAAGTGAAAAATAGGAAGAACATAAAATTTGCTACATAGATAATTTTGGAGATGTTCTATTTTAAACATTGATAACAGTATAATTTAATTCCATATTTTGAAATATACAAAAATATATACAACTAAAATGGTATCTAAAACAGAAACCTATGAGTGCTCGCTCCAAACAATAAGGCAAATAAGTGAAGAGCTCAGGTAATGGTGTTATTCTTGAGGACACAAAGCCTGGATAAAACTAGATTACCATAAATAGTATAGAAGTTGAAGAAATCAACACAGTAGGACTAGAATTAATTTAGAAAAAATTAAGAAAAGTTTGGACATATACCATAAGTAATAGAAATAAAACCTATCAGAGCAACAAATGGAAAAAACACACAAAAGCAAGTTTGTGTCCTCAGTGCCAAGGATTAGAGGCAGATGAAGTACAGACTGAATATAGGGAATACTAAGAAGTCCCAAGAGACAATGAGTGTCTTATATCAGGAAGCGGAGAGTGAATAAAGGCAATCTCATGAAAGGAAGGGAGAAACTGTAATCCTGCCCACTCCCTCTTGCCAGGGTTATCCAGAATCAATGTTTACCTATGAGAATTGTGTTTTTAAATAGTTTTTAAATTTTAAAAAATTTTTACATTGCTGGTACAAAAGTTTCAATTTTTCTGTCAATGTCAGGATTTCAATGTAAGAAATAGATTTTTTTTTTTGATAAAATGATTTTTGGATAAATACCCGCTGCTTCATCTACCATGTTGCTCACTTTCAGTTGGCCTTTCCCTTTCCTAACTACCCGAGTTAAGACTTTAAACTCAACTGTAAGGTAGTTCAGCCATCATAGATGGGGTTAGTGGGGGGGATAGTGGAGAGGCGGCAAGAACCATTCAAATTCAGTTCAACACTGAACAAGAAAAAACTGTAACATTGCAAATTAATATTGATCTATCAATATATTTAATATACTAATCTGAATATATTAATCAGCTAATTAATGATGAACTGATTCATAACTATCTCGAGTATTATAGGCAAGTTTCTTAACCTTTCTACACCTAAGTTTCCTTATCTGTAAAGTAATAATGGAACCCTCACCTTGCAGTAGTTGGGAAGATTAAACCTGATGATGCACTATAGCCTGGTTATATAGTATAATAGAAACTTTTGTACTAGCAATGTAAACATTTAAGATAATTTAAAAACTATTTAAAAACACAATTCTCATAGGTTAACATTGATTCTGGATAATATATTACTGTTTTCAGCAAAACAATTAGCCATTGCTATTAACATTTTCTAATGCTTATATTTTTGGCATATGCATCTTCCTTCAATGCTCAAAAAGGAGAGGATTATGGAACCAATATTTATTAATCATTTCTTCTGTACCAGATACTGTAAACCACCCACAAGAACGGTAGGGCGCCGCACGCACCTTGGAGGGGGCCCTTCTGCCGGCCACCCGCCCCGGAGGGTTTCAGGCCAGGGCCTGATGTGGCTTATGCCCCCTCGCGGCTTCGTCGGCTGCGCAGTCATCCCACCTTGTTCGTTTCTCTCCCTCCCTCCCCGCTGGCCTTGGCTTGCCAGGGGCGCCGGGAAGCCCGACGGCGACGGTGTCGTAAAAGCGTCGCGAAGGCGTCCGCCCTTGGCGGCTCCCTGCCACCTGTATAAGTGGAGCGTGCTGGGGTGTGAAAAGTAGTATGGAGGCAGCGGTGGTCGAGTTTCTGTGTGGTTGCTGGGTCTCCATGGAGAAGCGGCTCGCCAGTGTCCCAGGCTGCTGAGCTCTCGCCGCCCGAGTCCCCGCGGCGCGGCCGCAGGGCCATGCTAGCTTTGCGCGTGGCGCGCGGCTCGTGGGGGGCCCTGCGCGGCGCCGCTTGGGCTCCGGGGACGCGGCCGAATAAGGGGCGCGCCTGCTGGGCCCTGCTGCCGCCCGTGCCATGCTGCTTGGGCTGCCTGGCCGAACGCTGGAGGCTGCGTCCGGCCGCGCTTGGCTTGCGGCTGCCCGGGATCGGCCAGCGGAACCACTGCTCGGGCGCGGGGAAGGCGGCCCCCAGGCCAGCGGCCGGAGCGGGCGCCGCCGCCGAAGCCCCGGGCGGCCAGTGGGGCCCGGCGAGCACCCCCAGCCTGGTACGTACCGATGAGGCGGCGGCGGGCCGGCCCTGGGCTGGGGTCGCCGCCCCTGAACTCGAGTAACATGCTCTGGGTGGTGCAGCTCGGACGCTTCCGTTTCCTAACTTTTAGACTGTTCCCTGAAGAGAAGTTACTGGCAGGTCATTCGGTCGGGATGAATTTCAGGGTCACCAGCGGGGTCCACCTACGGTCTCTGTGGCCAAGTTAGAAATCATCTCTCATCCCCCTTCTGTCTGCACCGTTGCTGGAAGGGCCGCCTCTGCATATTGCATTCGTAAAGGTAGCCTATGCTTGTCTTATTAAAAAGCCTATTTTTAATTCTTTTGAAGTGAATCCCCAGTGTTTAGGCCAAGTCTCTGGGAATCTTTAGGAAGGTATACAGGCCCTTCTGTTTGCTTGTGCAAGTTTCGTTCACCATCATTTGACCTTTTGGTAACCTTACACATTATAGGATGAAGGCTAATTAAACAATTTAGGTCGTAATTAAAAGATCTTTTAACTTTTAATTATAGAAAAAGATTTAAACTATTCTTGAGGTAACGGAGGGAAGTATTTGTCCACTTACCTGTTGATATGCTGCCCAGACAGAAGACACCCGAGCATGAGTGTGGGAGAGCTTTTGATGTCATGTTAGCAAGACTCATGCAATTATTACATCTTCAATTGTTATGTCTTCAGTGGCCCCTGTACTGCTTTCATCAGTTGTACAGCATGGGTTGAGGTGGCCAGATCCTGGCAGGGGTCTCAACTCCACTAATAGCTAAAGCATGTTGGGGTTTGAATGCTGGATACTTTGAAGTTGCCATATCCTGACTGAAGACCTTCCCAGAACGGCAGTAGTTGGTCGAGTATGCCACAGGTTATCTGGTTGAGTAATCTGAGATTAGCTCTCCTAATGTTAACTTTGAAACTTTTACAAATTTAATGATTACAAATTAATGAGACACTTTAACTGAAATATTCTATGTGGAGCTAAAAAGAACTCCGCTGTTCCAGCAACATTCAGTTCTGTTTGTTAATTCGCCAAATGAAATGACGTTTCTGTTTACAACTTTGTTTTTAATTTTGCCCTGTGGATAATATCTGAAGTTAATTTGGGGCCCTTTTTTCTGATCTTTTGCTTACTGCTTTTTCGCAACCATGTGCAACCTTCTCCCCTCCCACTCTTCCCTTTGAGTTGCTGTAACCTTTGATCAGTATTTGACTTATTCTCTACCATAGTATGGTCAACAGACTTATCTTTTTTCTCTGGACTCTGATATTTGAACTTGAATTTGGGATGTATTCCAAGAATGTTTTCATTATATAATGTGGATTACTTTCAGTAAAAGATCTCAATAGAGGTTTGTATTGCTTCTTGTTTTATGATTGCTCTTCTGATAATTTGAAGTTTTTCTATAGCTTTCAATGACAGTATTCTGCCACCTGGCCCCAGCGATAACTATTTAATTATCCCTCCAAGCTGAGGTGCTTTATTGCTGGGTTTCTTTTATAAACACAGACATAGTGTCTTTAGAGAATCCTTTTTTTTTTTTTTTTTAAACAGGATAGTTCATAGAATTTTAAAAGATATCTTTAGAAATGGACTTTGCCACCTTTTTTACAACCAAAATTAAGATTCAGGCAAGTTGGCTAGTACTGATTAAGAAAGAGGTTAAATGGGGTTCTAGTGAAGAGAAAATCCCATGGGGTAGAATTGGCAGTCTTGACTCAGTGGAGAAAAAAAATCTAGGCTTTAGGGAAAGGCGTTTTCTCGTCTTTATTTCTGTACCCTGTTGTGCAGGTTGTCTTAGCTCCGCGGGGCCGACGCTTTTCAAAGCTGAAATATCCTCTCATGAGTCAGATTCTGTTTGGCAAGAAGGGGATGTTCTTCAGACAGCTGCCGAAGAGCTCTTTTGTTAGTGCCAGCTTCAGCCAGCTTGGCTCCAAATGAAGTGTCAAGGAATCGCAAAGCCCCCAGATGGGAACTGTGAAAGCCGTTGGTTTTTAGTTGAGGATCTTAACATTTCCATGACTGTTTTGAACAAATTTACAAAATTTCTCCATTTCCAAATATCACAATCTCTATTCCTATCTCCATTTTCTTCTAGCGGTTTTCTGACTTAGTGATGAGGTTATAGAATTCAATCTTCTTTTGTTCTCTTCGTTCATACCTCCATACACTGTATTACCGTTCTTTAGATATGTGTAAGGGAGTGAGGGAGATTCTTTACAGTAAATATTTCAAAGGTGAATGCCTGGAGTTGATAATTTGGCTTTTTTTCCTGACACTTTTACTTGTAAATAGACACTATTTGTCTACTTAGAAGATCTTCCTGAAGTTTCACCATTAAAAGCAGAGTATTAAAAGTTCCGAGTTCTTACAATGAAGTTATATGTGAAAAGCTTAGCTTATATGGCAGATAATGCATGTGTTCTGTCTTCCCTCTCTTAAGAAAACCTATAATAGGCCAGGCGTGGTGGCTCACGCCTGTAATCCTAGCACTTTGGTCGGCCGAGGCTGGCGGATCACAAGGTCAGGAGTTCGAGACCAGCCTGGCCAACACAGTGAAACTCCGTCTCTACTAAAAATACAAAAATTAGCTGGGCGTGGTGACAGGTGCCTGTAATCCCAGCTACTCGGGAGGCTGAGGCACGAGAATCACTTGAACCCGGGAGGTGGAGGTTGCAGTGAGCCGAGATCATGCCCCTGCACTACAGCCTGGGCGACAGAACTAGACTTCGTCTCAAAAAAAAGAAAAGAGAAAAGGAAACCTGTAATATGTAAAATGCCTTACTCCGTGTTTGGGTACATAATACATCTTCATCTTTTGTATTCTTTTTTTTTCTTTTTTTTAAAAAAAATTGAGATGGGATTCTCTCCATGTTTCCCAGGCTGGTCTGTAATTCCTAGGCTCAAGGGATCCTCCTGCCTTGGCCTCCTGAAGTGCTGGGATTACAGGCATCAGCCACGATGCCCAGCCATCTTCTTGAAAGAAGATTTTAGGGAGATATCTGTAAAAAGAACTGAATGGATTTTAAAATTCAATTTAATGTACTAAATTTAAAGTTTATGCAGCTTCTGACTGAAGCTGATGAAGTATATTTTTCTAATGTACATAGTTATTCAAAGTATGAATTCATAGTATTTTATTTAAATTTTGTTGTCTTTGTGTTTCAGTATGAAAACCCATGGACAATCCCAAACATGTTGTCAATGACGAGAATTGGCTTGGCCCCAGTTCTGGGCTATTTGATTATTGAAGAAGATTTTAATATTGCACTAGGAGTTTTTGCTTTAGCTGGGCTAACAGATTTGGTAAGTTGTAAATGCACTCCCAGTTTGCTCTCCTTCCAAATGCTCATCTGTACTACTAAGTTGAAATAGCATAGCCTTAGCTTGCTTTTCCTTGGGAGGAAACCCTCAAGATGAATTTGACGTAGTACTTTTTGTGAGGACTTTGTCTTTAGCATCTATATGGGATTTTTTTTTTTTTTGTATATGATTTCAGGGAGGAAGCGAAGGTTGTAGGGAAATAAAGGAGGGGATACTTTGCACTCTTGGTTTTTAAGAGTGAAAGAAACACCCGTAGAAATTTCCAAAGAGCTGAGTGCTTGCTTTAGGGATAGAAATAAGGGAGAGGAGATCTGAGATGACTTTTCTATGTATTGTGATAAAGAGGAGTACTCTGATCTGCAATCGGTTTTCCTAGCGGAGAGGGAAACTGGACCAGTTGTTAGGACACAGGGAACTAGGATGTAACCAGGGAGCATGTAGAACTCATAGCTTTGCTCAGGTTTCATGCTAGCAGGAGGCTGTAGGTACCCCCACAGATTTATTTTCTGATCTCTGCTCTACACCCCTCTGGCTGCCCTGCAGAATGCTCTGGGCTGACGATTGAACATCCTTCCTTCTTCTCCTCCCTCAGCAGATGGACAAAGAAGAGGAACTCTCCTTGATACCACAATGTTAGTTTTGATAGAGGAGAGGAGAATTTATTCAAATGATCTCAAATTAGAACTGGAAAATAATTTTATAACAAAAGGCTACGTTAAATAGGCTTTTGTGGACTGGCTAGCCATCATCATGTATGACGTTATTTGTATTACCAACTTTATTTCATGAAAGTTTTGAAATGCCTTATAAAACTGGCTGGACACAGTGGCTTACACTTGTAATTCCAGTGCTTTGAGAGGTCAGGAGTTTGAGACCAACCTGCACAACATAGCAAGAGCCTATCTCTACAAAAAATTTAAAAATTGGCATGGTTGCACACGCCTGCAGCCCTAGGTACTCAGGAGGCTGAGGCAGGAGGATTGCTTGAGCTCAGGAGTTCAAGGCTGCAATGAGCTGTGATCTCACCACTGTGCTGTAGTCTGGGTGACAGAGCAAGACCTTGTCTCTTAAAAAAACAAAAAAGAAGGGAAAACTTCATGCTGTATAAAAATGTAGTTGAGGGAAGTGTGGAAAAGATGAGGGAATAATTTTAAACCAGGGCGAAGTTAGCAGGAGAAATAGATACATTATATTCAGGTACAAGGTTGGTCTGAGATCTATATGAGCATCCAGACAGGTGGTGCTTTGGTGCCTCTTCAAACTAATTTATGTTTGAAAAGCTTTGATCAATTTTGCTCAATATTTATTGAGTGAGATTTGAGAAAAACTAGTTTTATATTAATAAAAGTTGCATGGCATCTTTCTTTGTAACATCAGCTGTTGTCTTTGAGGTTCATAGAAACAAAATTCCACGTGCCTAGTAGCAGAAGCATTGGTAGGCAACATAGAATTAACTGAAGATTTTGGAGTGCAGACAGAAGAGAGCATTTGCACTGTTACATGGCATTTCCAAACCTGCTTCAAATGTAGTCTCTCAAATTGGCTTTACCTCTCTTTTTCCAGAGTTTAGCTTCTGCTAATATTTGTCACCGCCTCTTCCCATTCTCACAATCTTTCTCCTTTTATTTTGTCTCTGCCCTTTTTTTTTTTTTTTTTTTTTTTTTTGAGACAGAGCCTGGCTCTGTTGCCCAGGCTGGAGTGCAGTGGCGTGATTTTGTCTCACTGCAGCCCCTGCCTCTCAGGTTCCAGCAGTTCTGCCTCAGCCTCCCGGGTAGCTGGGATTACAGGCACGCACTACCACGTCTGGCTAATTTTTGTATTTTTAGTAGAGACGGAGTTTCACCATGTTGGCCAGGCTGGTCTCAAGCTCCTGACCTCAGGTGATCCACCTGCCTTGGCCTCCCAAAGTGCTGGGATTACAGGCATGAGCCACCGCACCCGGCCTGTCCCTTCTTTTCTCTCAAAGCCTCCACTCATTGTCAATATTGTCTCCAAGTCTGTCAAAGGCCGTTATACTGGTAACAGTTTTTTTTTTTTTAACATAACAGACAAGATCTTTTTCAGTTACTGTAGTCTCCTTTTTTGTCTGCTACTGTTTTTTTTTTTCTTTTAAGCTGCCACATGAGATCGCAGTATTAATGGAGTGTTAGAGAGGCCCCATTAACATTTTTCTAAATATATAACATGATGTTTATGGAAACCTGAGTTAACTAGTGCCACATTTCACGTTGGTTCCATGGAGATTTTAGTGCCTTTCGATTGGCCACTGGGAGGTGGCCAGACTCATCAGTTTAAGCCAGGGAATGACAAAGTCTGATTGCATTGTGCGTGGAAAATGGATTATAGACAGGTAAGAGTAGAAGCAGAGTAACTGATTAGGGGCTCACTGTGGTCTAGCAAGAGTGGAAGCAGAGTAACTGGTTAGGGGCTCACTGTGGTCTAGCAAGAGTGGAAGCAGAGTAACTGGTTAGTCTCACTGTGGTCTAGCAAGAGTGGAAGCAGAGTAACTGGTTAGGGTCTCACTGTGGTCTAGCAAGAGTGGAAGCAGAGTAACTGGTTAGGGTCTCACTGTGGTCTAGCAAGAGTGGAAGCAGAGTAACTGGTTAGGGGCTCACTGTGGTCTAGCAAGAGTGGAAGCAGAGTAACTGGTTAGGGGCTCACTGTGGTCTAGCAAGAGTGGAAGCAGAGTAACTGGTTAGGGGCTGACCGTGATCTTGCAAGAGTGGAAGGAAAGTAACTGGTTAGGGGCTGACCGTGATCCATGGCAGCAGTGGTAGGAACTTAGACTGTGGTTGGAGTTTGGAGTTGGAGAGAAGTATGTGGGTTTGAGATATATTTTAAAGACGGAGGTAATATGTTGATGGATTAGATATGGAGTGAGAGTAGGAAGAGTCAAAAATGAATACTAGGGTGTTACTTTAAAAAAAAATTCTCTTCTAAAACCAGGTTCATGGAAATGCCATTTTCTGTGATGGGCAACACTGGAATGGGGCAGAGTTTAAGGGAAAATACTAAGAATTCTGTTGCTTATCCACATAGAAGTATCATTTGGGCAGTTTAGTAGTTTGGAGTTGGAGGAAGTCATCGTTATAGAGAGAAATTTGGGAGCTGTCAGATATAGATGGTTGGATCTGGGTAAAATCATCCAGACTGAGGTAACAGAAATGAAGGGTCAGAGAAATGAGCAACAAGTAGAGCACCAGAAAAGAAGCCAGTCAGGAACCTTGGGAAGGAATAGCTGGTGACGAAGGAATAAAATTAGGCAGTGAGATTTCCCAGGAAGTGGAAAAAGTGCTTCAGTTGTGTCGAGGTCAGGTACTCTAAAAATGCGGAATTCGTTGGTGACCTTTATGAGCCTCACCTCTGGAGGGGTGGGGACTATTGGAGTGGGTTGATGAACAGATGTGAGATGGTAATGACATTGGATGTTCCTTTGAAGCAGTTTTGCTTTGTAGGGAAATACAGAAATAGGATCACAGAAGGGTCTTTTAAAAAGATATGTATTGGGAAATTATATCTATCTATCTATCTGTCTATCTATCTATCTATCTGTCTATCTAATCCTGTATGTAAAAATATATATGTTGGAGTGTATGTATATACAGGGAAATTTTTCTTTGGTCTTTTTTTTTTTTTTTTTGAGATAAATCTCGTTGTGTTGCCCAGGTTGGCCTTGAACTCCTGGCTTCAAACAATCCTCCCACCTTAGCCTTCCAAGTAGCTGGGACTATAGGTGTGCCACTGTGCCCAGTGAATTTTTGTTGTTAGTTAAGTGATTAATTAAATGATCAGGTAGAGAGATTAAATGAAAGAGAGATTGATGAGGCAAGGCGAGATGGGGAAGAAGGGAGGCAGGTCACAGAAGGTGACAGGGCATGGTAACGGATGAAGGAAAGCAGAGAGAATGAATGGAGGCAGGTAGGTGGAGGATTTGATGATGGGAATATGAGGACGGGCTGACTACATTTTTCTTTTTTCTTAAGGAAAATATAGACATGACCTTGTGCGAAAGAGATGGAGTTAGGTCTGAGGTGAGAGCAGAGACAGTGTGAAAGAGACAATGTGAAAAGAGAGGGTAAATATAGTAAGCAAGTGTGGGATTGCTAGGCAGTATTGGGTGCCCATGGGAGATTTGTGGTCCCCAGTTTGAAGTGAGACCAGTCTTCCCGTTTGTGTGTTTTCCTTAAGCACTGTTCAGCTCTTAGGTGCAGGCCCAGAGTACATGGAGAGTTGTTTTTAAGCAGGGTTGAAGGAGAGTGGGGTGAAGGGGAGTTACAGATGTTTGTAAAGGAATGATGTTGAGGTCCTTGTAATCTAGTGTGGGTTAGAGGAATAGTGAAGATGAGAGGGTGATGATGGTGAAAAAGTGAAAGGTTAAGTTCCCTGAGGTCAGAAACTGAACTAAACCTGATCTTCCAAGGTCCCAGCTCCCCAGGCTAGGTACTTTTCTGTTCATATGCTTAAGAAGAAAATAGATTTTTTTCAGTTGTGATGGTAATAGCTAGTAACTGCTTTTTTTGAGGATTTACTAAGCGTTGAGTGCTGAACAAGTATTAATCACATTATGTGCTGAAGACAACCACCCTTTTGAGGTAGGTAATTTATCTCTGTTTTACAGATGAGGAAACTAAGGCTTAGTCAGGTCAAATAACTTATCCAAGATCACACAGCTAGTAAGTGGCAGAGCCAGGACTTGAACAGCTTTTGTTCTGCTACAAAGAACACATTTTTTTTTACCACGGTCCTGGACTCCTGCTGTCTCCTCCAACTCATTGGAGTACTTGAGATATGGACAACTTATTTGTTCTTTAAAATGAACCATGATTAATTATGTCTAAATTAATCTTTTTTCCCCCTTAGAAATAGTATTAGGGAACTCAAACATTTGTTGAAACTTGCAGTTAAATGAGTAAAAGCCAGGAAGGGACTTGGATAAACCAGAAAATACGTGCCTTGTTTAATGTGGATAGACAATACTTTTCAGTCCATTTTGTGGCCCCAGAGTGGCCAGACCCCTCCCTTCTCAAGTTAGGATGGAGATCTGGGTTTTTATGGGAAGAATTGAATACTTAAATGTAGATAACTAATTACAGTTTTTAAAAGCTCTGATAGGTCAAACAGAACCAGCTTGCAGGCCCCATTTGGCCCACTAGCAACTAGATGTGACTTATCCTTTAAATATAGTTTATTTTTATCACAATAATATAAAAATAAATAATTTAAGTATCAGAATTTTAACTAGGTCAGGTAGAGAGGATTGAGTTTTCTACTCAAATATGGGTAATGCTGATACAGTCAAAATAAGGAATAAACAGTGGTATTGAGCAAAATAAATTGAAAAACAGAAAAATGGTAAGTTTTAACAGAGTTGAATTGTATTATCCTAGTCCGGGCTCTGCCATGCATGCTTTCTTTGAGTTTTCTTTGGGTTCTTTATAGCTTTAAATACATCACTAACCATATCTTTAAATGTGTGTTTGGGTTCATCCACCAAAGGGGCCTTGTGAAAATACTGAGAAATAACCAGAAGGCCTTGAGGGGGAAAGAAAATAAATGTGCATTTCTTTTAAGACCAGTTGCTAATTTAAAAGCAAAATGTATACCAGTGAAAGAATGAGAATGTTTGGGGGTAAGAAACAGAAGAGATTTTGTTAACATTTTATGAGGTTATAATTGTTATTCTGGTATATCTTAAGCTTCAGAATATCTACTCTGTTCCTGTTATGACATTTATATAAAAAAAAAAACACTTCTATTTTCAGTTGGATGGATTTATTGCTCGAAACTGGGCCAATCAAAAATCAGCTTTGGGAAGTGCTCTTGATCCACTTGCTGATAAAATACTTATCAGTATCTTATATGTTAGCTTGACCTATGCAGATCTTATTCCAGGTAAGAACGCGTCATGCGTACTTTTGAATAGCACAGGGAAGAATGACATTAGTCAGCTTAGGATTTCTCTGAGACACAAATAATTTTTGTTCCAAAAATATAGTTTTCAACTTTAAACTGTTTTCCTAATTTTAAACTGTTGAACTGTTTTATTTGTCAAACTACTTATGGATTTTAGAATTTATGTCCTTGTTTTACTAGTAAAATCAGTTGCTTTCCTAGTAAGATTGTTTAAAATTAAAATCGAACAAATATTTCACAGTGCCAATTCATATTACTCTGAAATTTTTTGGTGCTATATTATATATTTTTAGTGCCTAGCTTTTTGAAAGCAATTTAGTTTTCTTATGTTTATTGTCTTTATTAATATCATTTAAGCATAATAAGTGAGAACTCTGAAACCCTGAAGATGTCTATAAAATTTCACATTATGTAGACCCTATTAGGCAATTTTTAAATCATACATATAGTTTGTACATTATATGAATACTTTTTCTCATAAGATTTTATGATTTTTTGCTTTGTATTTTGCATGTGCTTTTCTGATTGTTCATTTTCTACTTCAGTTGTATTTCTCAGTTGTTGTCCCTCAGACGAAGTTAAACTGTTTTTTTTTTCCAAGAGCTAGGAATCATATCTGATCACACTGGGACTTCCCTTCACTGTCAGTCTAAGAGTTTGCATTTTTGAGGTTTAGGAAAAGAAAAAAAAGGAAGAAAGAAAGAAATCGTATCTTAGAACAAAGAAGCTGCCACATGGTCCCTCGGTATCATGTTATTATTGACACTTGGTAGAAAGAAGTATAGTGGCGTTTCAGTCTAGTGTAGTCTCCTCCAACTAGAAATTATTTTTCTTTCTTGCTTTTAGTCTTCTAAGTTCTCATACCAAAATAAAAAATAAATTGGACTAATGTTTACTTTTATGTGCTTCTTTGAAAGTTAGATTGAAGTGTGTACGTGATTGGGGTGTGTGTAAGTTTTCTTGCGGCTGGTCTCGAACTTCTGGGCTCAAGCGATCCTCCCACCTCGGCCTCCCAAAGTGACTAGATTACAGGCTTGAATCACCTTGCTTGGCCCCTCCCATTTTTTCATAGTTACGTTGTATTTTGATGTATTATTTTACAAAGGTTGGCCAGTTATTTTGCTATTGAACATAGAAATTGTTCCCAGGTTTTTTGGAATTATGAATAACGTTGCTGTGAGTTTTACTTATATAATTGGTGTAGGTTGCTTTCCAAGCTGAGACTTCCCTTCACTGGCAATCTTAGAGTTTCCATTTTCTTTCTTCTGTATTGAGTCTATTTTTCCAGGCTTCCTTGTCTTCCTTTGCATTAAGTTACTCTGTAGAAGGATGGAGTGTGGCAGCCAGATTTTTAGAGGTCTTAAACATCTCAATGTCTGTATTTTGTCTTCCATACATGATTGACAGTTGAAGTAGACATTACTTTTTTTAATCTTTTTTCTTTCTTTTGTTTCTTTTTGAGACAGGGTCTCACTCTGTGACCCAGGCTGGAGTGCAGTGGCACAGTCTCAGCTCATTGCAGCCTTGACCTCCCAGCTCAAGCAATCCTCCCACTTCAGCCTCCCAAGAACTTACCACCACATGCACCACCATGCCTGACTAATTTTTCTATTTTTTGTAGAGAGAGGGTTTTGCCACGTTGCCCAGGCTGGAGGCATAATTTTTAAATTGCAGATGATTTTAATTTGGAATTGTGAAGACCCTCTTCCATAGACTTGGAGATTCCAACTTGCTATGGAGCAGTCTCTTATCATTCTGATACGTTTTCCTTTACATGTGATCGTGTTTTATATTGGAAAGCTTTTAGGATTTTAAGAAAATGTGATTCCTAATTGATGTTTTCTTTAAAAAGTTATCTCTCTTAATTAATTTTCTAATGCTTATATGGCTACCTAGTTATCCCAGCACATTTTATAGAAAAATAGGTATTTTCAGACTCAGAGCAAGGTCATTTCTAAATTGTTTTCTTCTGCATTGATTTGTCTGTCTTTGCATCAGTGGCGCCCTTCTTATTGCTTTGCTAAAAATCTTGCTATCTGGTAGAGCAAGTCTTTTCCACTTTGGATATTCTTAGCCCTTTCCATTTGTTATAAATTTTAGAATCAACTTTTCCAAGAATCAGCAATTTTCCAGAGAAAAATCTGTTCGGATTTTGATTGGGATTGCAATGAACTTATCTGTTTGGAGGAATTTGCATCTTTACAATTTTAAGTCTTCCAGTCCACAGACATGCTGTATCTACTCTATTTAGGTCTTCTTTAGTATCTGTCAAAGTTTTATAGTTCTCTCCAGAAAAATAATAAACATTTTTGTTAGACTTACTCCTAAGTACATGATAGTTCTTGGTACTTTTATAAATGGTAGCTTTTAAATTTCATTTTCTGGCCAGGCACAATGGCTTACCCACCTCGTAAGCCAGCACTTTGTGGGGCTGAGGTAGACGGAGATCAGGACTTCAAGAGTAGCCTGGCCAGCATGGCGAAACCCCGTCTACTAAAAATACAAAAATTAGCCGTGTGTAGTGGCATGTGCCTGTAATCCCAGCTACTCAGGAGGGTGAGGCACGAGAATGTCTTGAACCTGGGAGGCAGAGGTTGCAATGAGCTGAGATAACGTGTCTGCACTCCAGCCTGAGTGACAAAGTGAGACTCTGTCCCCAAAAAAAAAAAAAAAAAAATTTATTTTCTGATAACTCCATGTTCATATGAAAAAGTCAGTACTATTTCTAATGTTGATTGTTGTGTCTAGTGAAACTTGCTAACTCGTATTCTAACAATATACATATAAATTCGCTTGGATTTTTTACATGCTTAATTATGTCTTATATGTAATTAATGACAATGTATTTCTTCTTTTCCAATCCTTTTACTTTTTCTTTTACTTGCCTTACTGCATTGAGTGGTACAGTGTTGGCAAGGAGTAGTGTCAATGTCTTGTTCCCAATCTCATAGAAAAGCCTTTAGTGTTTCACTATTAAAGATGATGTTTGCTGTTGGTTTTTGTAAGTATCCTTTTTCAAGTTAAGAAGTTCACTTCTGTTGGGAGTTTAAGAGTTTTTCTCACAATTGAGTACTGAATTTTTTTGTGTTTTTTGCAGAGATGCGGTTTTGCTATGTTGCTCATGCTGATCTTGAACTCTTGGCCTCCCAGAGTTCTGGGATTATAGGCATAAGCCACCACCCCTGGCCTGGATATAAATTTTGTCAAACTCCTTTTGTGTATTACTATGGTCGTATTGTTTTTCCCTTTACCTGTTCATGTGTGGTGAATTACACATGTTAATGCAATATTAGTTCTAATGTTAAAACAACCTGCAATTCCTGTTGTAAATCCAACATTGCCATGATATATTATGAAAAAATTGCTGGATTTGTCTTGCTAATATTTTGTGGAAGATTTCAAATTTTAATTCATGAGATTGGCTTGGAATTCTTCATATATTCTTGTTAAGTTTTCATATCAGATTTATAATTAGCCTCATAAAATAAACTGGGAACTTTTTTTTTTCTTCCGTTCTTGGAAGATGTTTCATTATGAATATTTCTACTTAAAAGTTTGGTAGAATTTGTTAAAGCCATTGAGGCCTGGAGTTTTCTTTAGGGAAGAATTTTAAAATAGATAATTCATTTTCTTTAATTGTTAACGGGATGATTCAGGTTTAAAGTATATCTTTTTTTTTTTTAACCTTCAGCCAACTCACTCCATATTGTATCTTTTGACCAGTTTTTAAGTTGTGATGTTTTTCTCAGAATTTGTCCATTTGATCTACATTATTAAAAATTTATCATATGGTATTTATGGTATCCTCATTAACTTTATTGACTTTCTACTCCTTGTGGAGCAGGGCTACCCCATAGGCAGTGTGCCCAGAATAGCTCTCATTAACCTTTTGATGTCTATAGGATATGTAGTAATGTCCTTCTTTTCCTCTTATTTTTTATCCCTTTTTTTTTTTAATCTTTTTTTGCCAGAGGTTTGTCAGTTTTATGAACCTTTAAAAAGAACCAGGTTTGGGTTTTGTCAAGCCTCTCTGATATGCTGTTTACTACTTCATTAAATCTTGCCGTTTTATTTTTTCTTCTTCAGGTTTTCTTTGCTGTTCCTTTTCTAATTTTTTTGCCTTTCCTTTTTTTTTTTTTTTTTGAGTGCAGTGGCCTGATCTCAGCTCACTGCAACCTCTGCCTTCTGGGTTCATGCTATTCTCCCGCCTCAGCCTCGTGAGTAGCTACGATTACAGTCCTGTGCCACCATACTCGGCTAGTTTTTTTGTATTTTTAGTAGAGATGGGGTTTCACCATGTTGGCCAGGCTGGCCTCAAACTCCTGACCTCAGGTGATCCTGAAGTGGTCCTGACTTCAGGTGCCTCTGCCTCTCAAAGTGCTGGGATTACAGGTGTGAGCCACCATGCCTGGCTCTAAATTCTTTTAATCGATTCTGTCTAGAAATAAAATGGAGATTCTTATGTAATTAAAAATTTTTAGTAGCTTTTTTTAAAAAAGGAAACATGAAAATTGATATATTTTATGTAATCCACTATCAAAAATATTATCATTTTAACTTGTAATCAATAAATTAATGAGAATTTTTTCCTATCACACCTTCAAAGTCTAGAGTGTATTTTGAACTGTGCAGCTATAGGTGGCTACTTGTTATTCAGCTTTTTTAAAGATTGCATATAAGACTATATATTTTCCTCTAATTACCACTTTCATTGGCATCTTCTATGTTGGTTTTATGGTGTATTGTCAGTACTACAGTATTTTTCTATTTCTATTATTATTCTTTCATTGACCTGTTAGGTTATAAACAAATATATCTTACATTGTTGCCATTTTTGGGGGGGATTATTTAGTTACTTTTTGTTACAGTTCATCGTATAACCTTGTGTCAGGAACATGCTCTGTGATTTCAGCCTTCAGCCAGTACAGTCAAATTTTATAAAATCATTCCTTGAATACTTGAACAGAATGTATATTCTA